TTTTCCTTACAACATAGCCGGTGAATGTTTACGATATTGTTAGCTTTTTTAGAAAACAATTTTGCGTCGTTTTCCTGTTGCCAAAGTTCCGAACCTTTTCCAACAAAAAGATTTCAGTACTAAAGGATTTTGTAGATGGCATCTCTTTCGTATGCTTCGTGTTTACTGTTAATCAAGCGAGTGGAGTTATGAAGCGAAAAATAGTAGGAGAGCAAATCTGTTAGTGAGATTTGGCTTTATGTGTAAAGTCCTGTATCTAGACGATATTCATTTCAGTTGTGTATTTAAAAATATTGTTTATTGTAGTCCTTTTATATAAACTCGAGTAAACTATTCTACTACACTAATATTAGAATGTGTAACAATATGATTAAGGGACCGGGCTATTTGTAATCTATGTATAGTATATATCGATATCATGTCAAAAGTAGAACTTACTATACTTATAATACATCATTAAAGCATAATAATTTCACTTACAACTCAAACATTTATTTGTACGTAAAATGAATTTGGAGCATCATAAGCATATCTTAGTGGTTATCATGATACACAAAGATATAAAGAGCAACTCACGACAAAAAATATAATTAAAAGGCTTCATTCTACAAAATAAGTTAGTAACGAGGGATGAGACGAGATGAAGTTCTGTTAATACTTTATTACGACTCGTGTTAGATAACTCCTCGGACTTTATGGCACTCTTTTAATGGCCACTGAGTCCGGCCCTGGCGACCTCTACCGTCGGTTTACTGTTATTAATATTTTAAATACATTTTCAACTTTAATAACGTATTAAAAATTTAAGGGATAGACTAGTGGCCATTAAGATTGCCTGGTTTATGTTTTCGCTATTAAAACTTACTTATTACGTGCTGGATTAATTTTGTTTGCTACACTTTATTTACTGTTTTACCAATGTAAATTCTTACTGAAACATTATATCGGTAGGTATTTTCGTTTCTTGACTTGTCTGATTTGATGGATATTCTTACCTATGAACTAACTAATAGGACTTCTAACTTAAATACTTTTTCATAACAATATAGCAATAGTCTTGAAGTTATAAAATAAAGGACAATGGCTTATGGCTGTTGATTTGATAACCTATATTCATATTTGCTATTAATAACATTTGGGCTTTTATTGCACAAATTTCATTAATAGCTTCAATAGAAAAAAGCGCATGAGACATGGTGAATAAAAGTGACTCCACCACAAAAAACAAAACAAGATATTCTGTTATATTTCAAATTGATAACAATACTGGATCTAAATAATCAGAATATTGTTAAAATGTTAAAACTCTTAAAATTATTTCCATATCATTTATCAAATTCATTATTAAGATATTATGTAAGGCGTAATTTAAATAGTGGCGTTGCAATTAACCTTATTTAAAGAAGCATAGGTATATTTATTACTTGACTTTGTTAATTGTTACTTACAAAGTCTGCAAGTGTTTGCTTGTAGTACCAGAGCGACGCAGTCTGTGTGTTATTCCGTCATACTCGTATGTTTCTCTGTACCTAATTTCAGGTATTCCTATTTAGTACTTTTTGCATGATAAACTCAAACATACTGATATTGAAAGTACTCAGACAAACTTTCGCATTAACAAAATCAGTAGAATTCATATTTTCCCCAAAAACGTTTCGATCATAACTTCTTTATACAAAGGCATATTTTATGTAAATCTAGTCACTTAAACTTTCCATTCCTTACTATTATGCAAACCTTGACCTGTTTGCATACTAAACTAAACCGAACCTTCTTAACACAAGCATTTATTCTGAACATAGGTACACACATATAGAGGAACACCCTCTCTCCGTGTAATATACATCATGTATCCAAAATTCATTCGGTACATTATCTGTACACGTGTCGCGATTAACTCTGTTAACTCACTTCAAGTTGCCGACGCCAGTAACTGAGTATTCAGTGAGATCGTGACTGAAATATCATATCATAAGCGAGTTAATTTAGTTTCCCCCTGTAGATGGCTCAGCGGTATTAGTAGTTACTACTGCCATGAAGAATATTCGTAAAAGACACAAGATTAGTAGAGGTGTATCTGCTGCTTATTTACTTTGTCTTGTAAATACATAAACAATATACAATGTTGTAAATACTACACTTAAATCAGAGACTATTTAAAAGGCTGAGATGAAAGCTTCGCATTATAATTCCAAAGTAAACAAAACCTTCTAAAAATTATGAGTTGCATTATTATCAATCAAATTATATAAAAATTACTGTCGAAATGTTACATTTCGCTTTGCTCGTGTTACTGTTAAAGACACGGCCGATAACGACACGAAACAAGCACCCGCGGGGCGCGTTCTGAATTAATCCAATCCACAGATTAGGTATAACAGAAAGCTAATGGGCCAAAGTTTCCATGTAAGCCATTGTGTGCCGTTAATCTAATCGGTGCCGTGTATAACGATATTTTGATATCAGACCGTACAATTGCCAAATGAAAAATACGCGGATTTCCTGTCGACCGTAATCGCCATGTAATCCATCAAATGAAACGATGGTGAACGCTTTGCTTACCGTACGAAAGACTGCCCTATTACGTATTGTCACGATTTAATACGACTGATGTATGAGTTATTTACATGGTATTTATTTTGATTGATTGTAAATATAATGGTATGTTTTCACATAGAACGAACAATTTGCATAAGAAATATTGAAATCATGTCATTTATATATTTCATCTGCTTTATTAGTACCTACCTAACCTGTTACTTATTCACAAAAGGTATTAAAGTGTATCAGTAACCTACATACAAAGAAAACAAGGGTGTTTTCCCTTACAAATTACAGTATCCATAAAATACAAAGCATGTTGTTTGCTCAAACTACCCTTGACCAAAATAATGTCGTGTGATAGGATCTTTGAAACGTGCGCGGGTTTATTATAACTTTCTTCCTAAGAGTTCCAGCTGTGAGGGACCATGCTTCGCCCCTCTACGTCTCTCTTCACCCCCTTGTTACCCTTCACCTGACCAACGTAACTGTGCTCATGCGATAAAACAATTACCTACTACATGAAGTCGCGTTCCGACTACGAACTTCCAGCCTTAAATCGTGAAACTCATAATTCTAAGCATAAATACGCTCATAATATTTGGCTTGAATCAAAGAATATAAATTAAATCTGAATTTATTATGATGAAAAGCTAATAAAATTACTTTTTAACGAGGACATTTTTTATTTGTTTCAAGTCTTTAGAGTAATTAAAGTTAACCCTTGCATGGCAGATTTTTATTAAGTACTTGCTTCATTAAAATTTTAACCGTTAATGAGGCGATTGGATGGTCATAAAATTGGTCAGCTTCAACCATAACAAAAGTCAGAAAGCGAAATAAAACTTCAAGAAAAATTAGCTATAAACATTTTACTTCTGCTTCGATAAGCCGAAAAAGATTAAAGGAATGTAGTAACTATTTACCATATCGTATTATTAAATAAAATTCTAATTAAAGAAAAAAATAATCTAATAGCAACAAAAGCCAGGTTCTTACTATCAGATCTGGGTACGTTGTCGTGTTACCGTTTAAACAACTCGCGTGCTGAGCTAGCCAGGATCTTGATACGGTAAGGCCCGCACTAATTATAGTTTTGCTTATTACCCACGACCTCGACTAGTTATTGTAACTACGCCAATAATTTGTACATCTACTGTTGGCCTAAATATTGAAACAGTTTTTAGATCAAAACTGACCTGGCGGTGCAACTTCAATAACGGCTATTCAAAAGTAACAACTGATTTCGAAATAATATTACAGAATACAAAGTAGATATGCATATATAGTCTTCTACATTTATAAAATAAACTCTGTGGCAAAAATTTTAACACAAACATTGTAGAATCTAGCACGGACTTTGTAAGTCTAGTGTGTAGATCATCTGTGCTGAAAGTCGGGATCAACGTGAATATTCTCCGACGCTGAAGGTTCGACACTAAACTCTACATATTTCATCGCCACGCGGGGCTTGTCGTCCTATCTTTCATTGCATCTCCTGTAAAAATCACATATTCAAAGCAAGTGAATTTTTCATCAGTCAATGCTATGTAGGATCACAATAAACTTTTAGTGGGCGTTCCTTAGGGTAACGTTTTAGGACCACCTTCATATTGAAAAGTCTGTCAACTCTGGATGCTGTGTTATAAGTATTTTTTTCGTATAATCTAATATTTGTTGTTGTATATGGAAAAATAATATTATAACATAAGAAAATTTCGTAAAATGTTGTTATGATAGACATTGACACGTGGTTGTGAAAAATTCATACTGTCATAAACTCAAACCCAACGGCAACTATAACTACAGCTAATGGGCGATGACATTCTAGAAACGTCTGATATTACGTGGCTATAAAAAGAATACATTTGTTCGACGTTCATTCTTCCATAATAATTTCTCTACGTGCATTTTGTTCATAGTCAGCGAACATCTTTTTATTGTTCATAGCGCTGACTTCTAAGATTTCTTCAATGTATTCTTTTACTATAATTTGTATTCGATAAAAGTTCTTATGATTTTCAGATAATGTGTCTCAGTTTATTACTTCTTTAAGGATACATCTAAAGTATTTTATCAGTATGTGTTGTCGGTTGTATCTAGCGTAGTACTCTAAATAAAAATAAATGCCTGAGGACCAACTTACATACCAAAACATATGCAAATTGCTGTTACAACAGTTCCCAAATCGTGTCCCAAAGGTGTCTCGTGTGCAAGCTATACTGATTTCTGAATTCTCTCACACCTGCCGATTCCCTACGACATCGCCTTTCCAATTCAAACTACATTTCAACTGATGTATGTAACGTCAAGTCTTTATGGATCCACTTACATTATACTCCAGACATAAAGTCGTGCCTTTTTCTAATCTCGGTATTTACATATCGGGTTTCTTTAAAAGCCGTGGTTCATTGAACATCTATTTAATTATTTTTATATATTTGAATGCTTAATCCTTTATGCATCATTCTGTGGCCTTTAAAAGTAAGATATTATAGATAAGGTACTTAAATATTTGACTTACTACATTAAAACGAAAAAGAATATCTGAACATGGAAAATTTTGAAATAAATACAAAACAAGCTTCCATTGACGGTGTTCGTTCGTAGGATCAAAACTTGCAGAGTTAGGCGAACATGACGGCTGGCTTCGTGAAAAATATATTCTGCAAAATGATAGACGTACGAACGGCTCCCAGCAAAAATACTTCCACATTCCCAAGTTTTAGGCCAAGCTATTTACACTCACATTTCGTTTTACCTACTAAAGTAAATTTGAAATATAGGTAGAAAATTTCTAGTTTTCTTTTACCAAAATTAAAAAATCTGTATGCATATATAATGAAATTACATTTTAATCGTATTAAAAAAATTAAAACCTTTTTAGTATCGATGCCTTGAAAAGTGTAATATTTTTTTTTGAACACTTAACTCTTTGTCGTAGTCTTATTACTTCAAGAAAACAAATCTATTCTTAATAGACAAGGGACTGACGAAATACCATTTAATTAAATTAATTATACGAGTGTCATAAATCAAAGCTATTAAATATATTTTGTTACATTTTACTATAATATAGGTAAAATTTTGAATGATACCTTACATATCTTTGATGTGCTCATCAAACACTTGAAACGCGTCTAAATACGCTAATATGTGAGTCTTTATGCTATTTGATATTTTCTACTTTAAACGTAAACATTTTCTCCTTCTAAAAAATGTGATATAAACTGTCCGACAATGCTAAATGTTCAACCCTTTTTAAACATAACAATAGACAATGGACATTCCAAAGAGACTTTTTGCAGTAAGCCTTTTCAAGATAGGAAAATTATTTTCGTTTATTATATAGTGATACCACGGCCTCACAGAAAACCGGTTTGAAACAACCACAGCTCTATGTTTCACCGTGTGAGTGAGATTACCGGAGACCCAGTCCTTCTTTCCCTTTCTTTCAATCTCTAGAAATCTTAATCCCCAGAATGCCAGCAACACTCGCCACTCCTCTGGGGTTATGAGTAAACATGGACGGTGACAATCACTTAAAAAATAACTTCGTATAAATTGGAATTAATATAAAATAATTTCCAAAAGTACGCATGTCCACTTATTGAAACGTGTTATTTAAATTGTATTTTCGTCTTTTCAGATCATGTACGCGAATTTTCCTGCGGCACACTATATTATCGAACATTCTTCGTGGATTCCAAACGAGACGCTCTTTACGTGGGAGCTATGTAAGTATTCACAATAAATTAATTGTACCAAAAATGATATCTTTAATCAATTACAGACCAAGTTGTCTTTTTAGTCTTAGGTTTTAATTAAAAGCAATTATTAAACCCAAATTTCATGGAAAATAACGTGGCTTATTTATGTAATACTTCTTTTACGATCCACCTAGCAATTCATAGACTAATTCTATCTAGTTGCTAAGATCACTGCCAAAACATTTTTTGCCGACGATGTCCGGGGCAAAAAATTGTTACGAAATTTCAGAATGTTTTTAAAATGTCCTTATAATAACATTTTTATTTTGCATTTCTTACAAAAATCACAACAAAATCAAATACAATTTTGGTCTTCAATTCAAATGTACACGTATCTATCATTTTCTCGGCACAAAACAAAACCAATCGTTCCAATACAATCAAATAGCTATTTTACGAGTGCCTCCGTATCAACTTTACCTTTGGTTCGCTACGGTTACCCATCAACCAAAACCGTTTGACCTCTGGTTATTCATAGTTTTACCCAACCAACGCCCACAGTAAAGATTTTTCGAGGAAACGGAAGGGTCAGTTTATTTCGGTGATTCAATAAAAGAGGTGATATAGGTCAATCGTGTGTGTCACGAAGGTAACTAATTTCGTTCGTTGAATAACAGAACCGCATTCTGAGCAATAAAATGATTCTTCTATAAATGGTATGGGAACTTTAGCGCAACTTTGTTACATATCCCCCTCTAGTCCGCAGTAAATTTACCAAACTTTTGCATTCAAATATCCCAAGTTAAAAGAGTTTTACATTCCTTTCATGTTATTTTATGATGCCTACTTCTTTCCAGGGATCGACTGTATCGGCTGAATATGAATAACATCAGCGCATCACATTGTGAAGTAAGTTATCAATTAACATATTTTGATGATACAATAGTAAAAAAAAATCAAATCAAATATTATTAGTGTTAAAACTGCATTAATTATACTGAAAAAATAAAGTAAAATCATATTAGTAAAGAATAAACTTCCGCCTGACTTTAACCACAACTTTTTGTTCGCAGAGAGATTCCATAAATCTGGAGCCCAGCAACGTTGCGCAATGCGTGTCTAAAGGAAAATCAGAGGTAAGTTAATTAAGTGTGTACATAAATATCACACCAATGAGATTAAGTCGTTCACATTCCTTGCAAAATTACTTACAACTAGCACTATTTCCATCAAGGGTTAATCCCATTTTTAACTGTGAGCGGCGGGCGGCAAGCATATTTCATAGCGGGGGGCTTACAGCCATGCTCTACCGCGCTATATTAAGGCCGTTAATTTTGATTTACAATCGCAACGTAAAAGCAATATTTGTTTTATTTCTCGGCGGTTGGAAGCTGTCTCGAAGATCGGGGAACGGCGATTATAGCGATTTGCCTCGGTGCGTCATCCACTAATTCGATAATACCCACCCCATACTCGAACTGTTACACTTCAGTGGTTTCCTATAAATTTTGATCTCTTAAAATGTTCGGTTCTCACTGATACAACCACAGCCTTACTTATACGTCCTCATAATAAAAGTCGCGATGACTCTGCATATGGTGTCGTATATATTTATAACTCTTTGTTGGCATCCCTAGACATGTTTATATCTAATAAGATAGTCATAAAACCAGCAACCAGAAATGGGCTGTCTCATACGAAATGTATAAAGTCTTGCCGTGAACAGTAAACCCTCTTTGTGGCTTTTAAAGGTGTACTGAAACGGCGGCAGACACAAAAACTGCCAAAAGCAAATTCACGAGTTTACTACAACAAAATATCACGGTAACATAAACCACGCAAATAAAAGGTCAAACTTCCGCAATAGCGTGAGAAGAAAAGCAATAGACCACATGCTACCCGTTCAAACTCTTCCGATGGAGAAAAAAGTAAATTTGTTTTATTAGTATCAAAGGGGGCTATAAAAAAGAAATATCCGCGAGTCTATCACCTCGATCGCGAATGGAACGGCCACTCGTGAAGACTATAATCAAAGTTTCTTGCTGTCGGCGAGTTTTCTTTTCTCTAAACACGATGTCGTAACACGAAAAAGGCTGGAAAAATGCCGTCGGCAAATTCCTTAAGGCGGCCACCGGTCCGACGCTCGCCTTGTTGTTTTAACTTTACCGCTCTTTGTGACGCTATTAAAGAGAATTCACTGGTTTAGGTAAATCAGAAACTCGAGCTTTTAGATATAGATTTAGACGAACATCTATACCTCTAGAACTCAAGTGGTTTTCATTAATTTAAGCCCTTGACCCTTAACATTTTATTCATTAGACTAAAATACAACCCAGACAGAGAACGTACTTCGTGGCACGCTTTTATAAAAATTAGTAAGCAATAAAAACATTTTGACCACCAGCAAAAAGCCTAAAAAGAAAAACGACATAAATAATGCCAAACTGCTTCTCAGACGTACGCTTACAGAACCCACTTACAATACATTTCTTTTAATTTCCCTGTGCTTATTACGACCTTTGTGTACGAGTATCGTGGCAAAAGCAATAAAATGTTCCGCATTGGTAATGCAAATCAGCGCTCTTAAATTCCTAATAAAAACCATTATAGAAAAACAAGAAGAAAACCTTTTTGGTAGAAAAACGCGAGGAAAGCCCGCCGTAAATCTACTTACGTACAAAGTGGCGAATAATTAACGAAATGGTCCAATCGAAGGCATTAGTTCCGAGTGGAGTTATGCGAGCGCTGCCGGCTAAGTGCCGTTAAAAGAAACTTAGACGCGAGCTTGATTGTTCTCTTGCTTAATTCTGATTGTTTCCGAGTGCAAAACAGTTTTGTGTTCACGTCAGTACCGTGGCTGAGCGCTCACAGTATATTAATCCGATAATTACTTTAGAACAATCTCTTCGAAAGTTACCGAGCTCGGCCGAACCAAAGAAACGGTGCAAAACTTTTTATTAACAAACAAAGCACTCGGTTAATTGCTTACTTACACGTGCCTATTCCAAATTGAGTTTTACTACGTTTTCTGATTTTGTGTGTGTAGCAGTAATATAAATAATTTGCTAGATGTTTACCTTCTCAATCAAACAAAGAGCTGCAGTATACATATATATATATATATATATAAAAATACGCCCGTTTCAGTACATTTATATTCCATTTTTATATAGGTAATGCTTTATTTTTTCCTAAGGGTAATACAATTTCCTAGCTGTCATGCTCTCTTGTATTTTGTGGTTGTTTATTCTACCTTTGAAAATCAACATGGATACCTGAAATATTTAATGTTTGGTTTGAATGTATACAAAACCTATATAACGTTTATGTTAAGCTAGAAAATTCTAAAGACAAAGAAAGGAGAAGTTACAATTGGTATAAAATTTTAATTAGTCAAATAACAATGCTATTTTTGAGTAAAGTAGGTAACAATGTATCGAATATATACAAACGATTCGAATGTATATGAACGAAATTAAAGAAATATTATAGGCACGTAAAATTTAAAAGTAACATATTAAGTAATAAATATAATAATAATCTTTATTTTAAAAATACAACAAACAATTGTTTCTGAATTTAATAAAATCGCCTTTCGAGTAGCAAAATCGGAATACCTCTGGCATGTGGAGTTTTTGTTCTGACGTACAGAAAATTGTTTCCAGCTTGACGAATGACCGCAAAGACCACATACCAATCTACTGTTATAAACACTTTGATTCGTATTCGCTGTGGAACTTTTGTTTCATATTGTTATTTTATGAATGAATTTTAATCAACGTTTCAAGTTTACCTGGTTCATTGTATTTATAGATGCCGAATAATAGCCAAACTATTGTTAGATTTTTCAGTCTCTTAATTTTGTATTGAGGTTGTTTTATCTACTTATTTACAAACAAAACTTTTAATAGAAAATAAAAATATCCATAAAATTTAGTATTCTTTTTCAATATTACAATCTACATAAAAATCTTGCCACTGTGGAACTTGTAACAGAAATCAAGCATCACTCGCTTTAGACAGAAAAAAATGAACTTTAATGTACTGTAATGAACTGAAATGGACCAATATAGCAGTGTTTTAACCGGTAAAGCGAGCAATGCATTTCTGTCGTCCGGAATATTAATGGCCCGTTTAATATTTATGTCGAAGGCAAATTTGCATAATCACAGCCTGTGAATACTCATATACACCCACGTACTTTCGAATTACTATTATTCCAATGAATTTTGCCCGAGGTAGGCGCATCGCCCATTGATGTGTTACGATTGTTTGTGTTCAACTTTATTTTTGTTACGTGTTCACAATGAAGGATTTCATGTTTCATTAATGTCTAGTTAAATTTGTTCATTTTGTCAAATTGTTTGGATTGACTATAGCTATTGACTTATAAATAACAAGAAAAAACTGTAAATAAATTCGCGTTTAGGTACGTGAAATTAAGTCTGAATGCAATAATAGCGATATGAACCTACATAGGTTATATAAAAATGGGATAATACTACGAGTAATAAAAACAAAACTTAACCACACCTTAAAAAGTCACAAATCGCACATCATGAACTAAAATAATTTAGTGACGTAATTTGAAAATAAATTACATTCCTAATTTAAATGTGTCTTTAAAAATATTTTTTGTGTGCAGATTACTAATATGATTTCTTTTTCACAGCACTTTGACTGCCGGAACCATGTTCGTGTGATTCAACCGATGGGAGACGGATCCCGTCTCTACGTGTGCGGGACGAACGCACACAGTCCAAAAGATTGGGTCTTATACGTAAGTAATTTATTTATTTTAAATTTCAGGTCACTTCTTTTAGCTTAGTTTTAGCCTAAAAACAGTTATAACCAGTTCAAAAAGGAGGCAGGATAGTCTATACTATGTATACTAATATTATAAAGAGGTAAAATTTGTAAGTTTGTATGTAGGGGTAATCTTTGGAACCGCTGGTCGGATTGCCAAAATTCTTTCACTGATAGTTAGCCATTATGTTTCTGAATGCTATTTGTATAAAACATCACGCTACGATTAAATGGAGCCGAGCAGCGCGAGAGTAGCTGGTATTCAATATATTTTTGTATAACTTTCTACGGAAAATTTGTTAATCGTAAAATTATAGATACTTCGACTATTATTGACGCACATTCCTTTAAATTCTTTGAAAAGATAATGTAGGTGTGAACAGATACCTGATATCCTAATGTACCTGATATGTGACGTTAGTGTGTAGGCGTACAAATACGTACACATCCATTCAACCCTTACGAAAAAATAAATATGGTATAGTGATCTATTGAATTTGGTCGCGTATAAACTTCGTGGATACAAAAATAGATTTGCCACTACGTCTTAGACTTTTAGCTACAAGTTTTTTTAATTTTAATTTATTCCGATCAATTTAAACGTCGTCAACCAGATGTATTGGACCTTCACCTATGAAATTACTGTTTTTTAAAAACGTAAATTTGGATGTGTTTATCTTTGAATTGACTTGGAATTGTAAGGTGAAATAAACATTAGGTTCTGAGCATGACACATTTTTTTCTTGGAATTATATACATCCTCTTAAGGCCCAACCTAAATCTAGGTCGAAATACATATAGAACGGCCCAATGTACTAAAAATAGGTGCAAGTAGTTGTCACCCAGAACACTGATTTAGTATAAAAGTGTACCTATTAATTTTAAATTGAAACTAGCGGGATTGTTTAAGCCAAAAATTTTTTAAGCATAATGGCATAAGTTTATGTCACTGGGATTTAATGATTTTAAAAAAATTGCGTGACACTCCGGTTCTTTCATTTTTTGTCATTTGATTAGGTTGTTGGGCCTTACGAGGCTATATAAAACCAATTTTACTGTTTTACCGTGAGATTGATTAGGAATAAACAAACAAAACCTAATGACAATCGAGAGACTGTCTTTGTTCAGAATAGCTTTAACAAAATTGAAATTAAATAAAATTCGCTTACATTCTCAGTAAATTCTCAGACAATTACCAACAAATATTTAAGGAGCAAAATGTCTATTCCAAGCCAGACAAGTATAAAATAAACAACGAAACGAGACTACTTTATGCGGCGATTTCTATTACATGGCCAACACGAGTATCTCAGCGCACACTCTGGGAACATGCAACGAAATGCGAGCTATTATCTAAAGACCCACCCCACTCGAACTGATCCCAACATGAGCCTTGGACAGCAGCCAGCGACGCAACAGATCTCCAACAGGTCCCTAACATATTTCTGTAACAGATAAATGCGACACAATTGAAAGTCTGTCCCCCCTAATAAATTATAGAGAAACTTTAAAACGTCTCGGAAACACGTTTTAGTTCCGTAAAGTTAGTCTCTTTATTTATTAGAACTAATTTTGAAAGTAAAACAGTTTTAAATTAAGAAAAACAATGTCTCCGTAATCGAGTTCGCGCGGAGCTAAAACTAACAACTTCTTTACATTCTCCAAGACTCGCAATTTTCCTAACATTGTACAGTGATGCTCTTTAAATTTCTATTTCGTCGGTTTATACCGACGACATTCTCAACGAGACGGTATTAAGCGTCCATTCTACATGCAGCTGGATGCATCCAGTACACAACGCACTTCCTGGCTATAAGGAACCGCGGCAAATTTCACGGGTAGCGAGTCCAAATGATGCCATAACACGAACGAAGATTTCCACGACGTCGACAAATTTCTAACTGAACGCTTTCAGATCTCATCGAAAAACGGGTTTGACTTCAAAGAAATGTTCGACATAGAAATTCAAAATAAAATTCCCCACCAGTTTATGCGACCACTTTAGATTTATTATTTATTAGGCACTTACACTCTGACCAGTGCCGCACCGACGACCAAATGGATGCCATTTGTGTCCCCACGATGCGATGATAAGTGAAGTTATTTTTATGAAAATAATTTTTAAAAACTCATAAAGCCAACTTTTCACAATAGGTATCGAAAGCAGACCGCAATAAATTTCAGTGTGGCCTGTTCACCTCTCACTTTCCCTGCTCTTGACTTTCATATAATTTTATGATGTATTGCCGGTCGTTTTGACCCTTCACACGTTTTATAGCATTTCTGACACTGTAGAGTTTTGGGATTAATAGGTGCATAGAAAAATATGAAAATGGAATTGTAATGAAATTCAGTCTGAAGTACACTCTCACTTCTAGGTGATTTATGATCGTCGCTATTCCGGATAAAGTTTACAACTGCAGAAATATATGCCTTTAATCTGTATAAGCCTTTAAAATATTCTTAAATTGAGTAACAAAATACGGTAAATGGTTTTTTCAAATAAAACACTTATTGAACATTTTCTGTTCCACTTCCCGCAATAACAATAAATCTCGTGAGTCGAAAATTCTCACTAATAGGAAGCCAAAAATTGAAAATATATCATCTATACTTACGTAGGGAGGGGACACGGGACCGCGTTGATCCCGTTCCTCGGGACTCTTTTGTACAGAGCACTGTCAAAACAGAGATAGTTGCGCATTTAAATATGACTGGATATTAATTCCGTTTGGAAATTGATTTAATTAACTCCCGGATTTGTTAGGGACTCATTGAAATTATTCAAAGAATTTTATTTTCTGTTTCAAGCTAAAATTGTATGTAAAAGGACTTACTTAGTAAAAATTTTCTTAAAATACAATAAGTTTAAAAAACAACAACTTTTAAAGGCCCAATAAAAATAACTTTTGCAGTAAATTTAAATTGAAACAATACTAATTTTAAGAAAGTAAAAAAAAACAGAATTTTGTACAACACTACAGCACAAAGCTTTCACAGAGTAATAAATAAAATAAATACAAAGTGCAAAGTCGCGCTATCTACACTATGAGTAATGGGTCGCTCCTCTTAGGGCGCGTCAGTTTCAAAAATTGAGTGAAATCACATGTACGCGATTGATAGGGCGAATGCGACTTGCGGGAACGCATGAACGAAATCGACCGAACGATTCATATTTGTTGCAACCACCAATTTATATCTATTCTGTTACAAATAGCTGTAGCCGATTGGAAGGGTATTGGAAACAAATGACGCGGTATTTTGTTTGCAGTGGTTTTCATTTTTTGTTTTCAATATTGTGGTCGTTGTTGAAAATAGGGATTGCTTTAATAGTATTCGGATTTCGTTTATGTTTCATTTTAAGTAGAAATACAGCTTATCTAATTTGGGAGCTTGTTAATTTTTATAATTATTATAGTTTATTCTAAAAGCAATTTTTATTTTAATAAGTCGTTAATAAATAAAAAAAGTACTTACATAGGTACGTTAATTCTTTTAAAAGCGAAAAATATTACACTGAAACAAACGTTATTTACTTTGAAATAAAGCACAAAATTACGTTTCAGCGTGTTATCTTTATCAAATACTCGTTACGAGAAGCTTTATGGTGATTGCTCTACATTTTTCCACCTCATTTGGTAACAGTGACAAAAAAACAGATTCTCGTTTTTATTTTAAATCGGTACAATCAATAAGCCGGGCTTATCGCATTTTTTATGAGATAAATACGATGTATTTTAAATCTGCTATTAGGCACGTAGAAATGGTTGTATTGCACGGAGCAGGTAACAAACGGCCATTGCTTTTATTTTTCGTCTGATCACACTTGTTCTTTTAGCTCCGGTGTTGCCAACGGGCGCGCTAAATTGTCTTTGTGTCTCATTCTTTGTGCTCATAACGTTCTACCGTTATTGTTGTTAGATTTATTGGGTTTTATAATTACTTGTTTCAGTAACCCTTTTCTTGTGTTAACGTTGTTTACGATTTTGCAAAAATGCAAATTAATTTGTACTTTATTTACATTGTTTTGCGTTTTATTTTTGTATGTTATACCTTAACGCCTTAAAGTATAATAACCAAATAACAATGGGTATTCATATTTACAGTCTTAAACAGGCACCCTTAATTTCGGATTTTTTTTTGTGGAAGACCTTTTTTAATTCAAACAAAAATAATATCATAATTTTTATGGCATTCCATTAAATATTTTATATATAAGATATTAAGGAAATCACACTTGACTGCAGATATGGGTTAAATTGATTTTGCAATGGAATGACCATATTTTCTCCTAAGGGTTACAGGATTCGATTTCCGTGAGGGAACAAACATTTTGTGTACCCACCATGTTTTTGATTTATGTGTCTGATCGTTCCGACGTTCATAAATGTAACAGTATACCTTACCAAGTAGATACAGATTGCAAAAAAACTAGTTAACTTTTTAAATCTCTCAAATTCAGAAATCCAGAAGTTGCGTTTGGATAACGATTTTTTTATAATAACTAGCTTGTAATTTTTGCAAGCAGTAGTAAGGTACAGCACCGAGGTCTCGGCCTGAATCAGGACAGGAACGGGAAGGTTTTTAGTCATCAAGAGCCTGTCCTTCTCTCCCGCCCCTCCCTGGGGGGAGAAGTCATTTGATGATTTTACCCTCACAAAAAAGCATTTCAATACGTAAAAACCTTCTAAATATTTTACTTAACGATTGAGATAAAAAAATTATTAAAATACCATGAAACTAGTACTAAACATTCAAAGTTGTCGATAGTGAACTAAAATCAGTTATGTCCGCGTAACATTTTTCTAGTTTCGCCGAACAAAAGCCGGTTCTGCGAAACTTGTGTCCTAAAATAAGTTGTTCAAGTTTCCAGTGCTGTTTACTCAAAACTTTACCGCGAACACAAACTAGGGGAGGTTTTCATACGGACCTTTACAACTTTTGTACACATCCCTGTAGTTATCATAAGGGTTTCGTGTTGATCTAAAAAGTTTCGCCTCCGATTCCGCTTGATTAGGTTTTTCTCCTTTTTC